AATATACTGTGGACTTTATAACATATGGAAAAGTAAAATGTATGACAAGAACATAACGGACAAGGGGATGAAAGTCTACTATTATAAGTTTCTTACATTATACATAAGATGATAAAATAATAATTGAAGCTAGACCATGAGAAGTTAAACATCCATGTTATAAACTCTACAGCAAGAACATAAAGAAAAAGAAAAAATATATATCATTGAGGCCAGAAGAGATACAATGAAATATTGAAGAATATGCAAATAATCTAAAAGAAGGCAGAAAAAGAAAAAAAGGAACAGATAGGACAAATAAAAAAATATGTAGCACGGACTTCATCAAGATTAAAAACTTTTGGGCATCAAAGCGCACTATCAACAGAGTAAAAAGGCAACTCACAGAATGGGAGAAAATATTTGCAAATCACATAAATGATAAGGAATTAATATCCAGAATATATAGACAACCCCTAAAACTCAGCAACAAAAAACCAAACAGCCCAATTCAAAATGGGCAAAAGATGTGAATAGATATTTCTCCAAGGGAGATACACAAATGACCAACAAGCATAAAAGATACTCAACTTTACTAATCACTAGGGAAATGCAAATCAAAACCACAATGAGATACCAACCATAGAATATTAAGATGGCTGTTTTTAAAGTATATATGTACATTAAAAAAAAAAAAAAAAACCAGAAAAAAAAACAAGTGTTGACAAGGATGTGGAGAAATTGGAACCCTTGTGCACTGCTGGTAGAAATGTAAAATGGTACAGCCACAATAGAAAACAGTATTGCAGTTCCTCAAAAAATTAAAAATAGAATTACCACATAATTCAGCAATTCAACCTCTGGGTATACACCCAAAAGAACTGAAAGCAGGAACATGAAGAGATATTTGTACACTCATGTACATATCAGCATTATTCACAATAGCCAAAAGGTGAAAGCAACCCAAATGTCCACTGGTAGATGAATAGATAAACAAAATGTGGTATGCACATATGATGAAATATTATTTAGAATTGAAGAGGAAGGAAATTTTGATACATGCTACAACATGGATATATCTTGATGACATTATGCTGAGTGAAATATTCCAGTCACAAAAGGACAAATAGTATTTGAGTCTACTCATACGAGGTACTTAAGAGTAGTCAAACTGACAGAAAGTAGAATGGTAGTTGCCAGGGACTGGGAGTAGGAGAAATGGAGAGTTATTGATTAATGAGCACAGAGTTTTAATTTTGCAAGGTAAAAAAGTTCTGTGTACGAATGGTTACACAATGTAAATTCACTTAATGACACTGATGTGTACGCATAAAAATAGTTAAAATGGTAAATTTTATTATGTATATTTTATAACAATTAAAAAAAATCCAAATACATAAATGAAGCAGGATGAAAGACTTAAACCCAATCAAATTGATAATTACATTAAATGTAAATATTCAAAACAGCTCAATTAAGTCAGATGGTATAGACAGAGATGTTGGAATGGACAAAATAGAAAAATCTAACTATATACTATATATAAGAAACATACTTTATAGGTACATAGAGACACAGATTCTAAGTAAAAGGA